TTTCGAGCAGGATTGCGTGAGCACTTCTTATTGCTTTCTTTTTTTTAAATTCATTTTATTCACACGTTGCATACATTCATTTGGGCCCACTTTCTCCCCCCTTCCCCCTCCTCTCGCCGCCCACACCTCCTTCGCTTCCAGCCAGAACCCTGTTCTACCGTTATCTCTAATTTTGTTGAAGAGAAAAACATAAGCAATAATAAGAAAGACAAAGTGTTTTTTGCTAGTTGAGATAAGATAGCTATACAGAGAGATTCCTAGCATTGCTTCCATGTACATAATGGTTGTACATCCCAAGTTGATTCATCTCTAACTGACCTTTTCACTAGTTTCCTGATCCCTTTCTCATATTGACCTCTGTGCTTTAAGGTTTTTATTTAGTTCCTCTGCAGTGGGGACATCAAATACTTTCTGTTTTGGGTTTCTCACCTATCCCCACCACCTCCCGTATGTGCTCTCCCCTTATCATGTGACCCAAGTCCAACCACATTGCTGTATTTGCCCTAGATCTTAAGTCCACATATGAGGGAGAACATATGAATTTTTGGTCTTCTGAAGCCTCTGGCTAACCTTGCTCAGAATGATGCTTTCTGTGTTCATCCATTACTTGCGAATGATAAGAGTTCATTCTTTCTTCGAGGCTGAGAAAACTTCCCATTGTTATTAAATTTACACATTTTCTTTTTTTTTATTGTTTTATTTCATATGGTGGCATACAAGGCTTGGGTCATTTCTCCCCCTGCCCCCACCCCCTCCCTTACCACCCACTCCCCCCCTCCCTCTCCCCCCACCCCCTCAATACCCAGCAGAAAACTATTTTGCCCTTATCTCTAATTTTGTTGAAGAGAGAGTATAAGCAATAATAGGAAGGAACAAGGGTTTTTGCTGGTTGAGATAAGGATAGCTATACAGGGCAGTTGACTCACATTGATTTCCTGTGTGTGTGTTACCTTCTAGTTAATTCTTTTTGATCTCACCTTTTCTCTAGTTCCTGGTCCCTTTTCCTATTGGCCTCAGTTGCTTTTAAGGTATCTGCTTTAGTTTCTCTGCGTTAAGGGCAACAAATGCTAGCTATTTTTAGGTGTCTTACCTATCCTCACCCTCCCTTGTGTGCTCGCTTTTATCATGTGCTCAAAGTCCAATCCCCTTGTTGTGTTTGCCCTTGATCTAATGTCCACATATGAGGGAGAACATACGATTTTTGGTCTTTGGGCCAGGCTAACCTCACTCAGAATGATGTTCTCCAATTCCATCCATTTACCAGCAATGATAACATTTTTCTTCTTCAGGCTCATAAAATTCCATTGTATATAGATACCACATTTTCTTAATCCATTCATCAGTGGTGGGCATCTTGGCTGTTTCCATAACTTGGCTATTGTGAATAGTGCCGCAATAAACATGGGTGTGCAGGTGCCTCTGGAGTAACCTGTGTCACAGTCTTTTGGGTATATCCCCAAGAGTGTATTGCTGGATCAAATGGTAGACAATGTTTAGCTTTTTAAGTAGCCTCCAAATTTTTTTCCAGAGTGGTTGTACTAGTTTACATTCCCACCAACAGTGTAAGAGGGTTCCTTTTTCCCCGCATCCTCGCCAACACCTGTTGTGGTGTGTTGCTAATGATGGCTATTCTAACAGGGGTGAGGTGGAATCTTAGTGTGGTTTTAATTTGCATTTCCTTTATTGCTAGAGATGGTGAGCATTTTTTCATGTGTTTTTTGGCCATTTGAATTTCTTCTTTTGAGAAAGTTCTGTTTAGTTCACTTGCCCATTTCTTCATTGGTTCATTAGTTTTGGAGAATTTAGTTTTTTAAGTTCCCTATATATTCTGGTTATCAGTCCTTTGTCTGATGTATAGCTGGCAAATATTTTCTCCCACTCTGTGGGTGGTCTCTTTCAGTTTAGAGACCATTTCTTTTGATGCAGAAGCTTTTTAGTTTTTATGAGTCCCATTTATCTATGCTATCTCTTAGTTGCTGCTGCTGGGTTTCATTGAGAAAGTTCTTACCTATACCTACTAACTCCAGAGTATTTCCTACTCTTTCCTTGTATCACTTAAGAGTTGGGTCTGATATTAAGATCCTTGATCCATTTTGAGTTAATCTGGTATAGGGTGATATACATGGATCTAGTTTCAGTTTTTTGCAGACTGCTAACCAGTTTTCCCAGCAGTTTTTTTGAAGAGGCTGCTTTTTCTCCATCATATATTTTAGCTCCTTTGTCAAAGACAAGTTGGTTATAGTTTGTGGCTTCATATCTGGGTCCTCTATTCTGTTCCACTGGCTTCATGTCTGTTTTTGTGCCAGTACCATGCTGTTTTTATTGTATTGCTTTGTAATAGTTTGAAGTCAGGTATTGTGATACCTCCAGCATTGTTCTTTTGACTGAGTATTGCCTTGGCTATTCGTGGCTCTTGTGTTTCCATATAAATTTACAGTAGATTTTTTCAATCTCTTTAATGAATGTCATTGGAATTTTGATGGGAATTGCATTAAACATGTAGATTACTTTTGGGAGTATAGACATTTTTACTATGTTGATTCTACCAATCCATGAGCATGGGAGATCTCTCCACTTTCTATAGTCTTCCTCAGTCTCTTTCTTCAGAAGTTTATAGTTTTCCTTGTTAGAGGTCATTCACATCTTTGTTAGGTTTACACCTAGGTTAAATGCCACATTTTCTTAATCCAGTTCATTCAGTAGTGGGCATCTTGGGTTTTCCATAACTTGGCTATTGTGAATATGCTAATAAAACATGGGTGTGCAGCTGCCTCTGGAGTAACCTGCGTTCGCATTCCTTTGGGTATATCCCAAGTGGGGATTGCTGGATCATATGGCAGATCTTGTTAGATTTTTTAAGAAGCCTCCAAATTTTTTTCCAGCAGTGGTTGCACTTAACTTGCATTCCCACCATTTCTTTATACTTTCTTCATTTTGTGTCCGTGTGTGTGTGTGTGTGTGTTGTTGTGTGTTTTTCCGTGTTTCTCTACACTGAGAATTAACAATGAAATGAAAACTGATCTCCTTTTTGGGGAGGTGAGGAGAAGAGAGGTATTTGTTGGTAGGTTAAAGTATTGACTAAAAAATCCTGACTTCTTGATGAATAAGCATGGAATAATACTTTTTTATAAGGCCACCCTATAAAAAGGTATGGAACATCAAAAATTAAATGTGGAATTGTCGGTGGAGGTTACAAGAACCAACAAATTATATTCCAGTTCGGAAATAGTTATTTGGGCACTATGCAGTGTTTGCATGGACATGGCTCAGCTTGAAAGGAAATTATTAAAAATTGAAGTAACTAATCCTAAACATCATTAGATTATTGAGAATAAATACTTGAATTCTTTTCTTTGTTCACTATTCATAGGAAATTCTTTACTATTTGTTCATTAAAGTTAAGGAGAAAGGTAGTGGCCCTGGATCTTAAGTAAAACTGCTTGTACTGTATTGAAACAGGTACATCTCTTTACGGGCTTCCCATATTTCCTTGCCCCATTGAGAAATAGGAGCTGGGGAAATGTTGAAATGTTAAAGATTTCTTCTTTCTGGTATGGAAATTCTAGGATTGTGATATTGATTTGTGTTTAAATGACAGGATACTAGTTGATCAGAAAGTCTGGAAAATAGAACATGTCTCACATTACAGACTGTGATGGAAATATAATTGGAAAAGATGCACAATTTGCTCTTAAAAAGAAATTGAGTAAACACCTGAATTTTTTCAAGGGGTGAGATTTGAAAAAGTATTTCTTATTTGACTTCACTTTTAAAGTCAATTTTTCTTAAGGAGGACATTGCTATGCTTTTGGGCTTAGCTTTGCTAAAGTAAATTAAGATGCACACGTCTATATTATGTATAAAAAATATGTATGTAATATGCTATATATATATATGTGTATATGTATATATATATATGTATATGTATATGTATATATATATATGTATGTATTTATATTATACATATACATATATATATATAAAAACACACATTACCTATTGTCTGGGTCATTTTCTCCAGCTTCATTCTTTTTATTTAAAAGTAAAACGACTTTTCCATGAATGCTAATTAATTTGTTTTTCTTTTAGATGAAAGCCTTGAGGGACTTGGACAGCTTTTCTGCTTTGAATAGCCAGCGCATGTTTGAAGGTCCTGGCTGCTATGGATCACCGTTCTGTCTGTACTCCTGAATGAGTGCAGTAAGGTGGTCATAGTAAAGGGATTTTTTCCTTTCATGGACTTTCAGCTCTGACCTTCTGTTTTCAAATTATATTTATTTTATTGTTGAAACTTTGCTTTTATATGAAGAAAAACTGTGGTTATGGTTGCACATAAATTTATTTTTTGCCTGTAGTTCTTTCTCCTTTTTTTGTCTTCCAAAATACAGTGCTGTTATTTTTTTTTAAACGAACAAAAAAGTATCGAGCATCATTGATGTTACATTCAAAGCCACCTGCTAATTTTGTTTATCTAAATTATTCTTAAAGATAATATCCACGGGTGTCCTTTTAAAATATTGATCAGCATCTTGCGGCCTGCAAAGACCTTCAGATACCGTAATTCAGATCTCTTTAAGGAAATAGCAGATTATGTGGCTACAACTTTGACATCTGGAAGTTGAAGAAGTAAGTGTGTTCTCAGTTGTGTATAGGCCTCAGAAACTTTCAAGTAGCATATTAAATTCATTTGGCATTTTAAGTATTTTTCTTTCTGCTTTATAGCAGTTAAGATATCAAAATATTCCAGTGTTAACTTTTTGAAAATTAGCTCCTTATTATTCTTTCTAAGGTTGCTTATTAATATATGCTAACACACTATTCAAATTTTTGATCATTTTTCTGTCTGAAATAAAATATTTTTGGAAAATATAAAATATTTTCCAAAGTTGGTGGTTTTCAGAAGGTTGTTTGATCTTGGGTTAGATATGAAGCATTGTTTATGCTCTTTCCTTGTTACATTTTGAAAAATAAAGATAGTGTGACAAGCTTACAGTTTTGAAGATAAAATGTTATTACTCCATGATCGTGTCAGTTGTTTCATCCATAGTAAAAGCTTAAAATTCAGGATGATGTTTAGTAATGTAAACATCTAAATGAAGGAGCTGGTAGACCTTTCTTTTTCAGGTATGTAGGTGATAGCTGTGGTAAATCACTAGTTTCAGTTTAATTTAGAGAGTAAGATGAATATTGAGTTTATTACAAAAGTTGATTTTGGAAAGAGAAGTAATTGTGGTAAAGACCAAGAGGGAAATTGAAGGTGAACTGGAAAACTTTTTAATCTTATTTTACTTATTTCAACTCCATTCTCACTTTTAGAATTAATATAAGTTATAGAAACTTTGAGGAATCTTCAGAATCTAGGAAGTATCTAACTTTGGATGGGGTGCAGTTTGAGATTGATTTGGACATTTTGGAAAACTTCAGAAAAGGTGTATTTAAAGGTAATTTTAAGATCTGTAGTATGTATGAAAAACTTGTAGGAAAGTTTTTAATTTTCAATGGAATGGAAGTACAGAAGCCATAGTTACTAGTTGATTGCTCATTAACTTGATATGATTCAAGAATTAGTGAAACAGATTCTGTGAGGGAAAGATACTCGTTCCTTTTTAGGGAGTATCTTGTTGATCAGGCACAGTTATATTTGCTGCTTTTGAGTTCTAAAAAATTGTAAACTAAGGATTTTCTCTGAATTTACTCTTTTTTTAAGGTCCTTTTTCTCCTCATTTTATTTGAAAACCTTTGCTTTCGACCTGTTGGTTTGATGGACTTGTTTATGAAGAAAATAGTGGCAGAATCTGAATCCCTAAATGTGAAAAGCATTGTCTCTATTCTTCACGTGTATTCTTCTCTCAATCATATCTACAAATGCCAGAACAAAGAGTATGTACTCGTTTTTGCTATTTTGTCACATGACATGTTATAAGATGATTATAAATTATAAGCTTAACAGATTACAAGTGAACATACCCATAGCCATTATCCATGTTGAAAAACAAAACCTAGTGTTTCTTACTCATTTATGAAGTTAAATAGAATTTTGTTTTATTCTTACTGTTGTTTTGCTTAGTTCTTGTTCTTTATATGTATTTATTCACTGTAGAGTTTTCATTTCAGTCTCTCTAGCTTATCGCATCAGCTTCTAAGTTCATAGTTCATCTTCAAAAAATTTTTTTGAAAAGTTTAGAAATGAGTCTTTAAATTTTATTATTTATTTACTTTTCTTGGGCATTATTGGGGCTTGAACTCAGGGCCTTGAGTTTTCAGGTAGGTTAAGCCACACCCCTAACCCTTTTTGGTGTACGTATTTTTTTTTAATAGAGTCTTACATTTATGCCTGGGCCAGACTGGACCCTGATCCTCCTATTTATGCTGTTTATGCTTCCTACTGGGATGATAGGCATGTACAGCCATACCCAGCTTTTTTATTGATTGAAATTGAGTCTCTTGAACATTTTGCCTGGGCTGACCCTGAACCTAGGTCCTCTTGATGGATCTCTACCTCCTGAGTAGATAAGATTATAGGTGTGGCCACCTTGCCCACCTTGTGTACTTTTTATTGTGATAAAAAATACCCTTTAGCAAATTTTTAAATGTCAATACAATATTGTTAACTCTGGCACAATGTTCTACAGCAGATCTTAGAACTTAATCATCTTGCATAACTCAAACTTTATAAGCTGTTGGACAGAAACTCCCCAATTTTCCCTCCCCTCCCCATCTCTAACACAGTTTGTTTCTGTGAGTTTGACTCTTTAGGTGCCTCATATAAGTGAGATTATGGTAGTGTTTGTCATTCTGCGACTAGCTTGTTTTACTTAGTATAATGTCCTCCGAGTTTATCTATGTTATAAAATATAGCAAGATTCCCTCTTCTTTTAAAGGATAAATGATAATTCATTTTATGTTTAGGTCACATTTTCTTTTTTTTTATTCTTTTGGGATAAGTTCTCACTCTATGGCCCCAGCTGACCTCGAACTCGCATTCCTCCCTCTCAACCACCTGAGTGCTGGGATTAAATATGCACCACCATATCTGGACTCTACATTTTTAAAAATTCATCTGTTTATGGATATTTATGTTGTTCGCCTATCTAGATTTCTGATAATAATACTGCAGGGAACATGGGAGTGCAGTTATCTTTCTGAGATCCGATTTCTGAATTGAAATCCCCAGTTGTGGGATTGCTAGATCATATGGTGTTCTACTTTTAAATTTTTTGAGGAATCTTCAGTTTTCCTTAGTGCAGTTGCATTTCCACCATCAGTGAGTTTGAGGTGAGCCTGAGTACATAGTGAGACCCTGTCTCAAAAAAGACCAAAAAAGGAAAAGGGCTCTGGAACTTGACAAATGAACCTAATGCTGTTCCTGCTATTTCCTTGCTACAAAGTCTTCCCTTCCACTGTAACTAATTCATGGCTTAGTTACTCAACTTCTGTGAGCCTGTTTCCTCATCTTTATTATGAGAATAATAATAATACCCCCATAGAGTTTAATAGGAATTAAGCAGGTGAAAGCTTATAAAATGCTTTCTGTGTAAGACATTTATTGGATATATACACTTATTAGATAGCACTGTCCTGAAACTATGTCCTGGAAACTTACTTACATGTGTGGTTTTCTTACTCTTTTCTTTGGATTCCTTAAAGACATTGGTTCTATAGCATCTAACTAGCTCTTTCATGACCTTGTCCTGTATTTGTGTTTGAAATCTGACTTTCTTTATTTCCCAAAAGGTTCCTAGAAGTTATGGCTAGTGCTCTGACTGGTTGTCTTCACCATATCTCTTCTGAAAACCTATTGAATGCTGTGTGTTCATTTTGCATGATGAATTATTTCCCCCTGGCTGCTGTTAATCAGCTTCTCCAAAAGGAAGTCATCCATGAGCTGCTGACATCAGGTAGGAAGTCAGTGTACAATAGTGATCAAAGAAAGGCACTACCACTAGTACCTAGTGATTCTGTCGGTCTTACAGCAGTGTTGGTTAAACTGTGCAGAGCAAATGTTACTGAGGAAAGAGCTGTAATGGTGGCTGAAGATAAAGTGCTTCAAACCTGCAAACTTACAGAGCTTCCTCCAGTGACAGGTCATATGTAGAGAAGTAAAGAAAAAGGATAACATCATCATTATTCTTTTTTAATTGCACTGTATGCTTAACACAAAGGCTAAATGTTCAGGTTCTTCTTGGTGCCTTGATCAGAGGCATTTGTATTTCTTCATTTTTACTTGAAGCCAACTGAAGTCAGCTTTTGCAGCTGTAAATCCTTGAACCCAGGAGAACTGGATTGTGGTTCTAACTTTGCCTTTAATTAATCAGAAGGCTTTTTAACATTCTTGGGCATTTCTTCTGTAAAATAAGTTTAGACCCACTCTAAACTTTAAGATATCTCAACTTAAAGCATTGTCAAGTACAGGTCATTCCTCTAGACACTGAAAACTCAGCAGACCCTGAGAGAGTCCTCATAATAAGAAAGAGACACTTAGAAATATAGATACATTAGTGTAATCTTAAAATAAGACATTCATATTTTTCTTAATGATGTATTTTCTTTCTTTTTTTGTTCTATTTTTTAGGTGACATAGAGAGGAATGCTCATAAACTTCACATTTTGAATACTTGTCTGAAACTTGACAATGCTGCTTATCACAAGGCCCTGAACATACCACTGCCACAGCTGTTTCCGTCACCATCACCATCAAATGTGAAGGCTGCAGAAGGGCTTAGTAGCCTTCTGGGAAGTGAAGGATGCTTCGCAAAAAATGTGCAGTTGCCACATAATTATTACATTGGTACAGGATCACCTTTATTTTATTTTTTTTCTGACAGAACATTAGGAGTTCACTGCAGCAGTTTAGTGCAGTATGGCATTGCTTTGGACCTGGACTGCCTGGGTTTGGATTCTTGCTCTACGACTACTAGCTCTGTGAATTAGATACTGTGAATTTAGATACTTGTGAATTTAGAAACTTGTTACAGTTTCCTTGCCTATAACATGGCAGTAATAACAGTACCCACCCCATAGGATCTTTGTGACCAGTAAATGCAATCATGCATGTAAAAATCTGTAGACTAGTGTCTGGTGCATGGTAAGCTCTCAAAATCATTAGCAACTGCCATTTTCATTACTGGTAGTAGTATCAGACATTTTGACACAGAAAATCATTTTGAGCATTGTTTGAAAACATCATACCGATTTTTTTCTTTCAGACTTTGAAATCAGGATGGATGCTAGTAGGAACCACGTGCTTTCCTTTTCAGATGTGGATGTAACTTCTGCTACAAATATGCAAAGGTTGCTTACATACAGTCATTTGCTTAGCTTTCTGAATTTAAATTTATTTCTGAAATATATATTAGGTAGCAGTAACAGTGCCAAGACCTTATCTGTTTGTATAAACTTTCAATACACCAAGGGATTCTCATCTGGAGAATCTACTGCTTAGTTTCATGTGTGCATTATGGCTGCATGTAATAAGCTAGAGTTGGGTCACTTACTGAAGTAGACATTTTTTAAAGTTAGGTTTTGAAGCTAAACTGTTCAATAAGACAATGTTAATATAATTGAAACTATCAGTGCAGTTTAAACTTTAGGTAAGATAATAAAATAATGACCAGAATAGTGAGGCTTTTACAAAGATCAGATATCCAATAAGTATTTTGCTCTATTCTAAGACCTTTCAAAAGCAGAGAAATCTTAGCTTTTAAATTAAGCTGTGCTGTGTGTGGATGAGAAGCTAATCATAAGTTGTTTTGTGGACTCTTACATTACAAGTAGGATACCTCTGGGAAAAGCATGATGCCACACCTTGAGGGAGAGCCCTGCCTGTTCAGCAGGTGTATAAGATCATGGAATCATTGCATACACACCCCTGCTCAGCCATCTTTTGTGGAGAGGCTCTGCTGGGCCTTGAGGGGCACACAAAGATAAGTCAGACATGAACGCTGTCCCCAAGGAACATAAATCTCGTTACTTTCTTGGACGTGAGCATAAATATGACAGAGAGGCATAGAGAAAGATCTGTGAGAGTTCGAAGTCCTCGCTGGTCATCTCTCCATTTGCATTACTGGTAGTAGTATCAGACATTTTGACACAGAATCCATCTCACTCACTCACTCCTTGCCAATCTTTTTCAAATGCTGTCTTCTCTACCTATGTTACCCATCTGCTCTCAAAAACAGGCTTTCTTTCTGACCTTGTCAACACTTTTTTTTATCCCAGGTACTCCACTGTTTTGCTGTAGTAAAATAACATAGTTCTCAGTATAAAGTTCTGAGAAGTAAAAAATTTGAACATTCTTTAAAAATGTAAATTTCTCTTGTAAAAGCCAGTGTAGAGAAGACAATAAGAATAGAAATATCTTTTTAAAATTCCTTTTCCATTTTTCTTCCCATTGAACTTATTTCCAGAATGCAGGAATGGGAAAATAAATTACATTTTTCATATTTTTGTTACAGATTTTCTATTTTTACTAGTATTGCCTTTCTCTTAGGGTTTTCTTTGTATTTGGTCTAGTTGTGGTTTTTAAATGTTGCTCTCTAGAATATGTACAATATTTGCAAGAAGAGCATTTACCATTTGGTGTTACTTACATCAGTACTTCTGCATAATTGTATTCAGGTCAGAGATTAGCTCCATCTTAAAATGGGGGTTTTTATATCTGAAAATTTTACTTCTCAAGAATATAGCTACCCTGAAAGATGGCTGAGAGATGACCATTTGTGTAAAAGATTATTATAGCATTTTGGTTTAATAAAGTAGTCTTTGTATACTGTGATACCTGCAGAGGCCAAGTAACAGAAAGAAGTGACAAACTAAGGCAGTGGTTACTGGAAAGCTCACCTTTGAATCTCCAAAGAGCAGGAATGCAGTAAGATTGTAAGTGCTAATGTCCACAACTGAGCTCATGTTGTTTATGTTTGTTTTCAGGGTAGCAGTGCTGTGTGTTCCTAGATCTGTTTATTGTTTGGATTCAGTCCACCCCAGAGGAGTCCTTGCTATGAAAATGCGGCATTTGAATGTAATGGGTTTTCATGTAATCTTGGTAAGAAAAAATACAAATGAGGTATTCTTTCACTACATTTTAACAACTACTTTGAATGTAGTGGTTGAAGTTTGGTTACTAGGATTCTTGAGGAATTGTTGGCATCATTGGAATAAATATTTTAGTTTTGGTTTTTTTTTTTTTGAGAAGGAAGTATGTAATTTAGCTTCTACTTAGCTGATTACTATGATTACCAGGGAGTGTCATAATATTATTTTGGTCAGCTTTAATCCTTCTTTGATGAGAAAGAATATAAATAATATCTTTTCTTATTTAATTCCAAACATATAAAACCATTTCCAGCTTCTGGATTATCTTGAGCAAGGGAAGAAAACTGTTGAAGCTTTGTTGTCCTGGGCCACTGTAGGATGCTGGGAATCACCAGTATCCTTCATTCCTCATCTATCACCTGTAGAGCTGGAAGAGAATCGTTCTTCCTGTTCCCACTTGTCCACCTCTTTGACCAAAGCACCACAGCTTTTCTTTAACAGACTCTTCAGATATCTATCCATAACAAAAACCTCACAAATAAATTTATATCTGTGATAATATTGGGATCTATCTTCATGATACTCATTTAATCCTGCACATAATGAGAAGCATAAACATTTGACTCTTCCACTGTCATACTTCAGTGTCTAGAAACTCATCATGTATGGATTACTGAGATTAAGATGCCCTCTTCCCCTATAATTTTCCCAAGAAAGTAATTTTTGCACAATTTTGAGGGCCTTTAAAGGTTTTATAATTTCTATTATTACAGCTTTCCTCAACCTAGCATATAATCTTATTAGGTCTTTAAAGTATGAATAATTGTAAGGTAACATTTGCTTTTTAAAAGCAGTTAACTTGATACTACTTTAATATGTTTGGATCTCTAAATTAGCTTTTATTTTATATATTATCGTCTTCTTACACGTTATTTTGCTTTTTCTCTGGTAAGGTCAACAACTGGGAGATGGAAAAACTGAGCATGGAGGATGCAGTCGCATTTCTGAAGACTAAAATCTTTTCAGTTGAAGCCCTTTCTCCTACTGGTGTAAATTTGCAAAGCACATGTTAAAATAAAAATAAACCTTTTCGTGTTAGGACACATGGCATTTGTAAGAATCGTTTTAATATTAAAAGATAGCAATTCAGTTGTCAGTGGAATTAACCTGCCTGCTCACTCTAACAGAAAATGCTATTCAGTTCCCTATTAAAAGTCATTTGAAGAATGGAGAAGTGTTGTTAGTGGCATGGTAGAATCTGTTGGAAAAAATTCCAAAAGCACCATTCTTCCAACTAAAGCTATTCTGTTTTCTCTTCTGCCCAGATATTTGACAAGTGTAGGTTTTACTTTTCTCATTAGTTTTTGTGTATTAAAATACGGTTTCTGAGGCCAATAGGAAAAGGGGACCAGGAACTAGAGAAAAGGTTAGATCAAAAAGAATTAACCTAGAAGGTAACACCCACGCACAGGAAATCAATGTGAGTCAATGCCCTGTATAGCTATCCTTATCTCAACCAGCAAAACCCCTTGTTCCTTCCTATTATTGCTTATACTCTCTCTACAACAAAATTAGAGATAAGGGCAAAATAGTTTCTGCTGGGTATTGAGGGGGGGAAGCGGGAGGGGGTGGAGTGGGTGGTAAGGGAGGGGGTGGGGGCAGGGGGGAGAAATGAACCAAGCCTTGTATGCACATATGAATAATAAAAGAAAAATGAAAAAAAAATACGGTTTCTTAGTTCAGTTGTAGTGGGTCATAGGCAAATTGGTGTGGACAGGCCTTGTGTTTGGAATCTGTATATTTATACTTTTAGTATCGAGCTGCTCTAAGACTTTGTATTTTATTCTAAATCATTCCAAGCATTGGCCACATAGCAGTTGGACCAGGTTCTCAAGTGGTAGAATTGCAAGATGTAGGGAGGGTTTGTTAGAAATGTATGAGCATGGCATTTGTAACAACACTGCGAGAAGAGGTATTTCTTGGGCTGTAACAAGAGAACCATAAATGAGATACACACAGATGACAAGACAAGGAGTCCATGTTTTTAAAACCAAAGGACTGTGAATTGCTAACAGTTCTTGCCATTATTAAGGTTTGAGGTTATTCCTTTCTCTTAACTTTCCTTACCTCTCTCACCATTTCATGAGATCTTTTAAATTAAATATATAGCTGAACTGTGTTGTAATGGGACCTTAGTACTATTTGTCAGTTATGTCTATTCTTTTGTTTAAATATTTGTTCAAGTTCCATTGTTTGTTCGCTATTCTTTTGTACCCAGTATTTGACACTCTTCAGGGGTACAGTGATGAATGGGCATGGCACTTGTGGAACTTACAGCATGGCTTCTGTATAAGTTGGTGTTATTCTACCCCCCAAGTACACACGATGTTCAATTACTGAATATCTGACTATTTGCCAGGCACTGCTAAGTGTTTGCATGCTTGCTCCTCATTATCGTAACCCTTTGTGCCCTTACGATACTCTCTGGCCTTTATTTCTCCCTCTTTAATATGTGGATAGGTTATTTATCAAGGCTACAGATATTGTAGGGCAGGGCTAAGGATTGAACGTGAGCTGACATGGGCTTATAAGAAGAGCAGCCAAGTATTCTCCAGGCTGGCAAGATGACAACAGCTGTCAGCTTTTATCAACTTACCCAGCTCGCATTTAGAAAAGCTTAGAGCTGAAAGGAAGTTTAGTGATCATTTAGTGTACCTCCCTCATTTTATGGTTGAGGAAATTAAGGCTCAAATAATTTTATTCCTCTGGAATCTCAGCCATGCCATTGATTTCCACATCTCATCCATCACTGCTCTGCAGCTGGGTCCCAAGAGGTCTGGATTCTAGTTTCAGATTGGACATCATCTAGTTTTGTATACTTGGCCAAGTGATTTAACCTTTTTAAGTTTCAGAATGAGATGAAAATACTCTGCTATTAATGAAACTAAGGTTCATTTTTTAAATGTTAAGTGTGTATCAGTTTCTCCTAGTGGCTAATTATGAGTCATAAAGGATAGGACAAATTTATGGATACTTGTAACTGCCATTTGAAGTAGAAATTTTCTTGAGTTTGAACTGATTAACCCCACAGACAGAAGTATTCCTCTTTTACTAGCATGACTAGTATTAGCATTCTTCATTGAAAAAAATGGGCTGATCATGAAAAAATTTTAGTCTACTAGTAAAGATAAGCACTTTCAAACAAGCGAGATATTTTTACCTTTGAAATTAACAGTTTTATTTTTCTTTAAGAATTACAGTGGTGACAAAGATAATGAGGCAAGCACTTGCATGGGCTGCTGGCAGAATATAAATTAATACAAATGTTCTTTACTGTGTTTTGTGCATTTTTTCTTTCCATGTTTAAAAAATGGCTGAATTGAATAATTGGCATGCACTAAACTGAATATATTTTAGATGTACAGTTTAATAAGTTTTGACATAAACATAATACCTATGAAATCATCACCATAATCAAGGTAACATATCCATCATATAAAAGGTTCCTCTCTCTTTGCCTCTCCCTCTGCCCTCTGGAAACCACAGATCTATGGTGTGCATAGAAAATAAGTGTTTCCAAGCTCTAGCTGCAGAATGTTTGGAGTGTCTTATTTGGAGGTGAGTAGAAAAGAATATTTTCCTCATCTAAGAAGAAATAAATCAGTAAAACCCAAGCTATTAGGGAAGATACAAAATACTGCCTTTGAAATTTTTGAACTATTTTCAGAAATAAATGAGAGGCTTGATGTTACTTTCTAGACATAACTGCACATTAAGTTGTATGCTTGAAATGGCTGCATCAGTTCTTGATCAAGGCACTTCCATAAGTTCTTCAAATTCTTGGTAGTTAACGTTGACAAGAACATTTCTTTAAAACAAAACTGATGAACTGGGCATGGTGGCATGCCCCTGTCATCCCAAGCTGCGAGGGAGGCTGATATCCAGAGGATTGAAGTTCCAGGCCAGCCCAGGCGGAGACCTCACCTCAATGGAAAAAAGCTGGGCCCATGTAGAGGCAATGTCTGTCATCCCAGCTACAGCAGGAAGTGTAACTAGGAAAATCATGATCCAGGCTGGTGTAGGTAAAAAATGAGACCCTATCTCCAAAATAACCAAAGCAAAAAGGATTGGAGTTGTGGGTCAAGTGGTAGAGCACCTGCCTAGCAAGAGTCAAGTCCTGAGTTCAAAACCCCAGTATCACCAAGGCCAAAAAAAAAAAAAATATCTAATAAAACAGTTTGAAACTGTTAAAAGCCAGTCAAAATTTTAAGATTACATTCTGCCATTGACAAAATGTGGTACTGGTATTTTTTTGTGATAATACAAATGAATCTCAAGTGCAGTTGTATCGAGTATTTCCAAATACTGATGTCATTCTAACTTCTAGAGTGTGCATGTATTGTTAGGGTAGTCACCCTTAAATATCTCCAAGAAAATGCAAGTGTTTGCTGGAGGAGAACCTATGAGGAGCTGGGCCATCTGGCCTGCACGTTAGCGAGATGATCCAGCAGCTGGAGGATCTCTTATCCATGAGGCTCAGAGGCTCGCCAGCAGTAGGCTGCCTCTATAGCTCTCCAGGTGTCCGGACACGCTCTTACTTTCACACAACACAGCACCGCAGAGCATCAAGGGCCCAGTGCTTGTACTCTACCCACAGGGACTGGGGAGGACCAGCACACCCTGCCCTATCTGAGCTACCTTCTGTGGAGCCCTGCGTTTTCCAGACGCCCTTTCAGCTTGAATTCCACATGTGACTTAGGGTCCTCCATGCAGATCTGCTTGATTAAAATTAGGAAGGTCAAATGAGATGGAGATTATGTTTCTCCAGTTTCTGTAAATGGGCAGTCATGGAGTATTTATTTATTTATTTATTTTGGAATAGCAATAGCAGAAGTCCCAAGGTGTGGTGTGACAGGATAGGGATATACATTTTGCAGGTAAGGGTTATGGCTAAGGTAATGTGACTCTGGAACCAGCCGTGGGGCAGCATCTTCATGATTTCCCAACTTTTGGGCCATAAGTAGATATACCAGCTCTCTGGATAGCCAGTTCTGATGTGATGGTGTTCTGAGAGCCATTACCGGAAGTTAAACCAAAGGCTGTTTCTTAGTCCAATCATCCTGTAAGCAGAAGGGGGCTTCTGTGAACGGCCAGTTAACCTCCAAGCACAACACGTCTAGGCAGAGCTGTTCCTGTCACCAGCAGCATGATATGATGGACAGAGATACTACAAATACATGTTGTAGAGTTTTAAAAAGGATATCTTCCTTTAAAAGCTGGATTTCACTTTAAGGAATTTCATTCAAGGTTAGAAACACATAATTGGACTAAGGCCCACTAGGAATACCCATGTTCATTCACTCTGGCTTCTTATGTGACCTCACCCTCAGGAGGTTTCTCCAGGCAGCAATAAGCTTCCCTGGCAGGTGAGGGGAGAAACCAATCCACTTGCCTTGGTTTTCTGCTTGTTCTCCTTGCACTCAATTTTCACTTCACAGCAATTACCAGTTCCCTCTCAGTTAATCTCTTTACACTGGAACCCACATTGTTCTGAAGAGAGAAAAAGGAATGTATCAAACTTGCCCAGTGATTTCAGGAAATCTATTCCTTGTTTTTACTGAAAAAATGCAAAACAGAAGCAAGATATGGAGTTTATTGAATATATAAGGAAGATTTTCACCTTTTTTTACCCAAAGTTAAATTCAACAAAGAGCCAATGTTGTCATATTTAGGGACCTTGAAGCACTTGAATATTGCTTAAACTCATTAGAAAATACTCTTATCAAATGCTAATCAGGAAGAATACCTAGTCTTGAAGAATATTAACTGAAGAGAAATGAAACTGAGGGGCAATGCCTTCTTCACCAGCTCGAGGTTCAAATAACAGACCATCCCCTGCTGTTTCTCTGGTTGCAGATTCAGGTTTTTGAAATGGCAGTCCCACACAGTCTCATCCAGGAGCCATGCCTCTGATGCTCCTGCTCAGACCCTGCTGCTCCAGGGTGGAGTTCTGCACAGCCATTGTTTTGGAGAGGAAGAGCCCTCACCCTCAGGGTTTTCCTGAGGGTGCTCCATGCACTATGGCCATCCTCCAAACACCCACCTTAGGCCCAGAAGCTTAAAGCAGAACAGGCTGTCCAGTCACAGACTCCTGTTTTGCTCAGTAATATTTCTTGAGTGATCTTGGGTAAATATGTATCTTGAAAGAAAAACAGGCAACCAAAGCAGTGGTGGTCCTGTTTTTTGAGAATGCATTTGTAAAATTATTTGAGAATTTACTTGCTTATTTCAAAAAAGGATGTACTATTCATCAAAGAGATTGAAAAATCTACCATTAAATTTATATGGAAACACAAGAGGCCACGAATA